TTCCGGAACACTTGATGCTATTCAAAAACTCAGGCGTATGGAGATCAGACAAAAAATCATAATTAGAATCCGATTTGCATGTACTGTCAGAGCTCAAGTACATACGAAAACCCAACAAATTCAATGATGTCATGTACTCATTGATAGACTCGGCCACATCTAGCGTTGGCGCTAAAATTCAAATTACAAATCAACTCCCAATTTTTCAAAGAATTTAAAAAAAGTTATCAATTGTAGTAAAATCTAAAATTTTAGACGAAAACTTTTTTCAACTTAAAGTAAATCTGATGCAGAATAATTAGATTATTATTATTATTATTATTATTATTAGTTATCTTGGAGAATAAGTTAGGAATTGTTTAATATTTAATAAGAGTTCTTGTCTTGTTGGACAAGTTAGGTCTACGGTTAGGAGCCTTGTATAAAGGACTCCCCCTAGTTTATTTTCATTAGTTGATTATTGAATGAAAAATGAGATTGTGAGTTTTATCGAGAGAGTATCTCGTTCGTTTATATTTCCCATTCGTACGCTTTCCCTACATCAGTTGGTATCAGCAGTCAATACGATTCGCGATGTCGCTGGGACGAGAAGATGCCGCAGACGAACGACGTGACGCAACCTTCAACGATCGGTTTCAACATATCGACTACCGATTTGAACAATTGGACGTGCGTTTCACGGATTGGTTTGCCGATCTTTCGACGAGGATCGAGGATGTGCATTTGACGCTTAACAACGTGATTGTTTCGGAATTGCAGACGAACCGCGATGGGGTTGTGGGCCGTGGCTTTCGTAGGGGAGACAGAGACGGTTGTGGGGGACGCAGCCATGTCGGGGCGCCCCGGCAGCGATCCCCGCTACCTCTGAACGGCATCAAGGATGGTGACTTTACCTGGTCGGCTAACCCGTTGGCAGATCGACCACCATGGCGAGGAGACGAAACCACAGGTCAGCCCCGAGTTCGCGAGCAGCGGCGGGCTGGAGGTAGTTTCGTACATGGAGGCGGATTTTGGGCGTGTGAAAGACACGACTCCAGTTGCACTTCTGGGCCTCACAAAAGCATTTTTTGGGCTTGTGAGGGTGATGTCGTTTTTGGGCCTACGCCTAATTCAATTTATTGGGCTCAGGGGAAGGATGAATTTAATCCTTATTTTGGGCCTGAACAGCCACAAACAGGCTTTGACTTCGAGTTTATAGATTCCTTGAATTTTGAGCCCGACACGTGCGATATCTACGACGGTCCGCCAATTTTTGATGAAGAGCCTCCGGTGACGAAGACATATTTTTGCAGTAATATGGGTCCCGCGTGGGACGTCGCAATGGTTGAGTCTTCGAATGGGCAACCGTCATTCACACCCGATTTTTTGAGTATTTTGGCCAAAGATGGTTTTTCGGAGCCGAAGCCGAGACTCCATAACTGGTGGGCCATTTTTCGATTGTTGTTCCCGAAGTCTCCCAACACCGGGATGCTTGGCCGTAGTTATAGATTTATGCGCGGTGAACGATGTGGTCTGTTTTGTGTTCATTCGGTTGTGTGGGCTTTGCGTCGAGTGTCGTATACATGTGACTTTGCGGCAGTTGAATCCTTGACCGAGATTATGTTTACCTTCGAGATTGTTGGACGACTTTCAACCTTCGTGTTCGATCGGGGAAAACGTTCGGGTTGTTGTTGTGTTGCGAACGTCTCCCACGGGAACGGGTCGGATTCGAGGGCGAATCCTGCTCAACCGGAGGAGAATGATGCAGAATAATTAGATTATTATTATTATTATTATTATTAGTTATCTTGGAGAATAAGTTAGGAATTGTTTAATATTTAATAAGAGTTCTTGTCTTGTTGGACAAGTTAGGTCTACGGTTAGGAGCCTTGTATAAAGGACTCCCCCTAGTTTATTTTCATTAGTTGATTATTGAATGAAAAATGAGATTGTGAGTTTTATCGAGAGAGTATCTCGTTCATTTATATTTCCCATTCGTACGCTTCCCTACATCAAAATCCCTATTGTTATTTTATAGTAGTAGATTGAATTTCCAAAAGAACAAAGTCAAAGGTTTTCACTCAAATTTTTTATCAAGTTTCTATAAATGATTTTTTAATCAACTCTTTCAATATATATATAGATATAGATATAGATATAGATATAGATATAGATAGATATAAATATAGATTAATAAGTACATATATAGTATATCCTCCTTTTTTTAATAACTATCGTTTTGAAAAATTGCACAGTAATTAAGAATTTTTTTGTCAATAATAACCCTCATTAATGAGGATAGATACGGATGTTTTGAGAAAAGATGAAGAATGAATATGAAAACATGTAGTGTATTTATTAGCCAGATGGGGGTAATAATGAAAAAATATGTACAAAAGATCCAAAACGTCATTTATTTGATTAATTGTAAATAAAGTCAAAATATCATTTAAAAAAAAAAAGAGGTAGTATCTATTAATATATAAAAAAAACAGGATTTATTATATATAATAATTTAAAACTTACCAAGAATGTTTAAATTACTTATAACGGAACTTGTTTTATATGGCTTGATATTACATTTACATTGATATATTTTGATCTCCTACAATCATGCTCCCTAAGTAACTAATAAATTAGATATCCTTGGTATATATATTTCACATGTGACCTTTCAATTCGGAAAGAATCAATTGACATTATCCTCATCCACAATTCAACATCATCCTTCCGAGTTTTTTGTTAAGAAATTGATTTGAATATTGTTTTTAAAATCTCATTGTTTACTCAAATTGCACGTGCTTTTTAACAAATTTTCCTAAATTAGTAAGTCAAACAAATTAATTAATAAGTCAAACATTCTATTTAAGTATTTTTCCAACAACCTTTATAAAATCATTATTTACTCCTGAAAATGAAGCCGATTTTCCTACCAATAAACCGATTTTTTATCAAACAAATTGATCCGAATATTTTTTTAAACCAAATAAAAAATCATCAATTTTTCCTAAAAATGCAACCGAATTTTCCTAACACTACACCCATTTTTTTATTAAACAAATTGAATTGAAAATAATTTTAATAAAAAATTGAAACAATTTGTTAATGTTTATGCAACTGTCTCTTTCCTAAAGAAAATGATATGAACTTAACCAAAAAAAAAAATGATATGAACTTACCAAAATCTTGGTAAAACATGGTTAAGAAAAAACATAAGAATTCAAAAAAAATCGATGCATTTAAATTTTGAAAAGTTGCACACAATTTTTCCTAAATAATTGGATAAGGTGGCTTTAAATATCAAAGATGAACCGCTTTTGTTACCAAAAATGTGGACACAATTTTGAATGTACATCCCGTCCAAATATCAATTTTATTCTAAAATAAAAATTGCACGTGGCTTTATCCAATTTACACACTTTTTTTTTAAAGAAAAAATTATTCAATAAGATTGGAAGAATTGTTTAAGAATTATACAACTATTTGTTTTCTAAATTCGTATCCAAATTGTAAGGTTTTTAAGTTAATTTGTATTTAGAATTGTTTTCATAAATAATTAACACATTTTTTGCATAAGAATCTCCAAATTTTTTACCAAAATATATGATTTACATTTTGGTAAAAAAAATAAAATATGATGCGAAAAAAATGGGATTCAAATTTTGCCATAAGAATCTCCAAATTAGTTACCAAAAAAATAGGATTCAGATTTTGTTACTAAAGATTCACATGTAGTTTTTCGAACTTTCCATTTATAACAAGTCAATTGTTTTATTTATTAGGTCAAACTTTCTATTAATATATTTTTCCAACAACCTCTTTATATATATATATGTAGATACAATAAAAAAACCCCGACATTGAGATATACAGTATATTCACGATTCGCAACATGAATTTTCTGCCTGCTACAAGCACTCGAACATATACGTAATATATACGAGCAGACCAAAAGTTTTTCATAACATATACGTAATATATACGTAGATATATACGAGCAGAAAGATTCATATACCGAACATATACAGAACATATACTGAAAATAACACCAGATCTAAGCATCGGATGTTGGTTGGAAATCGCAGGTCGTTGGGCTATTTTGCGAGAAGCCAGACAAGGCTGGTGGTCGTGCTCAGCGGAGGATGAGGCTCGTCGGGGAGGGTCAGGCGTATGGTTGCCGGGCGGCGTGAGTTTGAACTCGTCGGGATTGGATGCTCTTGCGGCAGATGGCTCGCCAGAGATGAAAGGAGAATTATTTTCTTCTCGGAAGATGAAGCTTTCTTCTTGGAAGGATAACGGCGTGGAGAGAGAAATGAGTTACAAAAAATATGGGAACGTTTGACTTTAGGAGAGAGAAAGGGGTTACTATAAATTATTTATCAACGATTTCTCGTAATACTGCAAATAAAAGATAAGATTTTGTAAGCGTGCAATATAAATGAGATTACCTCGTGGCAGGTGTAATTTTCTCATTGGCAATAGAAGGAGTAGCCCACCAAGGGAACCCGCCGCCTGACCACCCCTTTCGTCAAGAAGACTTTCGACACAAGACATACAGATCCACCAGCCGTCCACCGGCTCCATGGGGAACATACCACATCATCCAACCCGCCGCCTGACCACCCCTTTCGTCAGGAAAACTTTCGACACAAGGCACACAAATCCACCAGCCGTCCACTGGCTCCACAGGGAACATGCCACGTCATCGACACCGCAACTGGGCTACCAAGCGTGGCTCTGATACCAACACAAGACACAAAAATCCACCAACCGTCCACCGGCTCCACGAGGAACATGCCACGTCATCCACACCGCAACTGGGCTAGCAACCGTGGCTTTGATACCAATTATTGGGACCAATAACTCAAAACTCAGTTCTCCATCAAGCCCAACATACAATCCCAAATAGGATTCTATTCTAAAACCAATTGACAATAGAAAGAGTAGTTTACCAATCTTATATATTCGACTTAGAACCTTTAATTTTCGATGTGTGATTGGATTTGCACAACCTACATGCTCGACTAGATTGACTTGTAACTCTTATTTCCTTCGTGACTAAGAATAAAAATAATCGCGTATTTATATAAGCTCGTTCGCCTGCTCCTTGAAATGATCAGCTCACACATAAGGAAAATCAGAAAAACTAATGGAGCAGCCTTTTCTATCATCAGGTAAATAAATTTTCCATTTGGATACCCATATTCTCATGCTTTTCCCCCCAATAATCTATTTAAGGTTTGATTTTGATCAGGGAAAAGCGACGGCGAGCAGTGGAGCTCATACGAGCACGTGGGAAGGGCGGGCTCGGCGATCCCGACGGCTTCGCTGACCGGAAATGAAGTCACCGTCGACGAAATTCGATTGGCGGCCGCTTATTCCAGTCCGTATTCTCCCTCTCTCCATGCCCCTTTGCTGGTTTCACCTGGGCCTTCTCTTCATAATGGTAATTTTTCGTTTTCATTGACTTTTTTGTTTGTCGATTGAAGCTATATCATGATCTAGGTGTTGTTTACAGCTGAAATTTGTTTTGTTATGCACATGTGTGATTGAATTTTGAATTGATAGAAGGGTGTGATTTTTATTTAAAAATCATCTTAATCGGCTTCAGCCTTTGATGCTTCTAAACAAGTGGCCTAGTTTATTTTTCAAAGAACTTCGGTGGAATATATTGAGATTAGCCGGTTATGAAATCGTATTAGTTTTGTTAAGTCTGCACTATTAGTGTTGAAAATGATTTAGCTGTTTATTTTTAATTTACAATCCCTAATATAATTTGTGGATCCATTTTATGTACATTTTAACTCACAATGCCGCATTATAGTTTAGACGTTCTCTTGTAAACTTGTTGCAGAGCCTGTGGTCGGTTATCCCCAGGGCCCGAATTACGGCCATTTTGGCGACCCTGCTGCTAATGCTCATAGGTCAGTCTTCATTTAAGCTATTCTTAAGCTTTAGCACCATAATTGAGAATTAAGGTAAAGGATAAATCGATGATCTTTTTCAATTTCTTTTTCTTTATTTAAATGTGCATCATTCATCATTCTGGAACGTGAAAATACATTTTAATTGGGACAAGAAGAAAAGCACATAAATATTTTTAACTTGGTATTGATGGGGTATCTATTATCATTCCATTACTCGATTAATTTAGTTCACTAATTTTATTCGGCATAAAATGAAATCCTTTGTTGTATTGTATTATTATGGATACATTACTCTCTTCCATTTTGGGTTTTTTTCTGGCACTAAAAATTTTCGGATATCTATGAAGACAAGTATTGGATGAGGTAGAAATTCGAGAGCTACTCATAGACCATGTGGGTCATCGGTGTTGTTGGGTTAGTCGTCCGGCTCGAACTTGGCCTATTCATGCAGTGGAAAATTGCAATGTCTATGTGGGAACCCTTGAGACTTTTGTTGAAGAGAGAGAAGCAATAACTGAAACCGAACCATATCTTTCCGGCGAAGTAGATGGGAAAGAAAAAGGTCCACAGCTTGGGACATGGGAAATGGATATGAGGTCCGAGTTTCCTGTGCTATTTACACCTCATAAAGAATCTCGGGTTGTGGTTCCTCATTCGGAAGCTGTTGATAAATGCTCGGGTACATTCATTTTCTTTTTCTTTTTTTTTTTTCTTTTTCCATAATGGACTCCGGATTATTGGTTTATATCATATTAAACCCTTAAAACGTGTCGTGTCGTGTAATTCCTTTTGAATTTTTTGGCCGTTTTGTGTAGGTTGTGGGGGGAGAGGAAAAATTGTATGTCCTACTTGTAATGCAGATCAAGAACCTGGTTTCTACAAAGCAAATCAGATGTCTCAGTGTTCTGTTTGTTACGGAAGAGGTTTGATTGCGCATCAAGATGGATCAGATACAATGTGAGCATCTAATTTGAATCATTTAATGTATTTTCTTTTTAAATACCTGTTCTGTTTTGTGGATCATGTCACTATGATATTCCCTGTAGAAGTTTTAACTAGTAAGGAGGGATAAATTTATTTGCGAGGTTAAATTCAAAAAGTGGATGGAAAAAAGAAGACGAAAAACATTGATTGCATGTCCATAGTTCATTGTGTGTAAAATGAATTTGCAGATGTAAGACATGCAAGGGTAAGGGGGTCGTTCCTTGCGCCACATGCGGATCTCAAGGAGTTGTCAAATGCGAGACATGTATCGGTAGTGGCTCGATTCTGAAACGCCAGGTGGCTCTTGTTAAATGGTATGTATTTGGTTCGGTCACATAAATCGCTTTCCTTTTTTTTTCCTGGAAAATATAACAAATGCGGCAAGTTTCTTTCGACAACTTGCACAAGTAACAGTCCAACCATCCACTTGGTCATTAACTTCCTGAATTGACAAGTATTTACGTGACATTATCATCTGAAAAAATATGGGACTCATTTTTTAGATGTGTTTTACATAAATCATCATTATAATGATCTGCACTTAAGCTATGACCTTCCAGGGGGATGGATAAAGCATTTGATGGACATTTCACTTTGAAAACACCATATGGTTTGAGATGTGTTCAGTTATATTTGAGTGCTTATAGGCAGTCTTGGCATATAAGTTGGGCATTGAATCTTCCTTTTCACACGTGGTATCAGTAACAACTTTTATGGACAATGTAAGAGGCTGAATAATATTTTTTTCAATAGGGGGTCTCTTATCCATTACTGGTCCACCATTAACATAAACTGCATCTACTTGAATCACTTCACCGTCAATTCTAACAAATTGTTTTGAGTTGGAAGTATTATAATTAACGTTTAAAATAGAGGATTGTGGACAATTGGAATGCTGAGTTTACTCTATTGAAGAAATGGTTCAGCAATTTTGGGACATGTTGCACTTGGTTTAAATTATATAGATTACTATGGGAACTATTTTCATGAGATCCATGACTTTTTAAGTTCCATATTTTTTTCTTCTTTTTCCATCTTAAAATTGCAGCATGTCTATTTCTCTTTTTGATTAGTTGTTGACCTAAGTTCTACATCCAAGTGTATGCATGAATGCCTATGGTCTATTGTGTTGACACCTAACTAGTATATTCTTTATATAGATCAGTAATGTCTATTCTATTACTTTTTAAGCTTCTCTTTCTGTCAATAATGAATAACTTATCATCGAAAAAAATATGTACTGTTGTTAAATGGTATGTATTTGATTCGGTCACAACAATTTCCTTTTTTTTTGTCATGTCCTAGAAAATATATCAAATGCTGCAAGTTTCTTTAAAAAATGAATGGGGCAAAAGAACCACTTACATATATTTATGAATAAAATGTTATTATACATCATTTTGTTCATATCTAGATGTTTCTGGACAGGAAAACCTTTACAACTAGAAAAGTAAGCGCAACAAGTGGAGCTGCATCTGTCCCGGATGAAGTCTTTCACAGGGCAAAAGGGGTTCAGCTATGCAATACTCAGGCGCACCAGTGCACGCCAGCCTTTTTCGCCGACTCGTATTTTCTGAACAAGTTCTCTTCGGAAGTGATTTCCGAGAGGGCCCCGGTACCTCCTTCTTCCCGAGTCATTTGCGAGAGGCACGTCATTTCAGTTATTCCGGTCACTCGAGTTACGATGACTCACCAACGCCGTTTGTTCAGTTTCTACATCATTGGAACTGGAAAAGAGGTTTACATGAAAGACTTGTATCCTTCTAGGTTTTGCTGGGGGCTATGTCCTTGCTTGGATTGGTTGAGCTTGTAACTGTTTTTTTTTTTTTTTCCCCTCTTTTCAAGATTATGGTTCATTGTTGCTTGTTAATCGACACGGTTTGGCATATAGCGAAAGAATGAATAAGAAAAGGATTCATCTTGATAAACCTTACAGGGTTTCATATTGTATATGAGCTATTGAGCTGTAATACCTATGTCTGTACTTGGGACTTCCCAATGCACAATTATTCATATGATAATAGTGATTGGGTCATCTTTTAGTTCCATAGATCTACTGTGCAGTGCAAGGACAATGGTTTTCCTTATTATTTGAGCCACCTCGAAATAATTTCAGGTGCAATTATCCTATGTTGATAAGCAGAAAAATATTTATTTTCATCAAAGCATGAGAAATTATGATGAACCACAACTTCTGGACAAAAATTGCTAAGTAACACGAAAGCTAGTTTCTAGTTTTAAAAAATCTGTTTAAGCAACTCTACAATTACTAACATATGATGATATGAAAACACATTTTCCACACATTAACAAAGTTGCAGGGTTCTGGTTGGCCTCCGTTAAAAGCTGAGCCGAACTCGAGAAGCCGAACTTGAAAGGCCTCGTTTCTGAAGCCATTACTGTTCGACGAGATGTCTAACACTCCTTTGTCAGGACACGCGTCACGTTGAAAAGTTATTCATCAACATGGAGATTCTTGCAGCATGCTTTATATACTAATAATAGAAAAAGTTGTACTACAACACTATAAATAGTAGTAGAGTTTTAGTGTAAAGGGTAATGAATATGAATTCCCGACAAAAAGTTAGATGCACAACTTCTAACCAGATTAGAACTTTTGTTCGATATTTAAACATTATATCATATCTTTCTTTTAAAGGGATAAATCCCAATTTTTTGTTGTTCAAAACTCTAAGGACAACAATTTGGCGCTAGAAGAATGATCACATCTTGTTTTTTTGGGTAATCTTCCACCGAAAAAACACAACAGTAAGCCAAGAATGTCGTCATCAAGCCGTGAAGATCATCTGGGATCCTCTGAGGCCGAACGAAACCGTAGTGCGGCCCAAGGAATCGATTTGACCACACTATTTCGAAATCCAGACTTTTTGAAAGGATTTTGGGATTTGTTGGCACAAACCTTGTCGTCGCCCTCTACTGTACCTTAAATGCCCACAAAAAAAGATATAAA